CAGCAGCAGCAGCAGCAGCAGCAGCAGCAGCAGCAGCAGCAGCAGCAGCAGCAGCAGCAGCAGCAGCAGCAGCAGCAAGGTAACTTACCCGTCAGGGTTTAAGATGGGCACGACCCACCACTCCCTCGCGAGCAGCAAATAAACAGCAGAAGGGTCCCCAGCAGCAAAGTCTTCCAGTAGCCGCGCTGCAGCAGCAGCAGCAGCAGCAGCAGCAGCAGCAGCAGCAGCTGTTGGGGTTTCGCATGCAGCAGCAAAACAGCAAACAGCAGCAGCAGCAAACAGCAGGGGCCCTCACCTATTGCGAAGATGCAAAAGACCATACTTAAAGGCTCCCGAGAGTGATGCAGCCCCGTCAGCAGCACAGCAGGAAACGGTTCTTGCTGCTGCTGCTGCTGCTGCTGCTGCTGCTGCTGCTGCTGCTGCAGCTGCTGCTGCCTGAGGATTCCTCCTACTCTGTAGGCGTGGATGGGCCTGCCCTCGACGCTCCGGCCTGCAGCAGCAGCACGCCCTAAACCCTAAACCCTAAACCCTAAACCCTAAACCCTCGGGCGTTGTAGCCTCCCAAGCAGCAGCAGCAGCAGCAACAGCGGCTACTGCAGCAGCACAACCAGCAGCAGCACCGCACTGCGCAGCAGCAGCAGCAGCAGCAGCAGCAGCACCAATGATATGCCTTTCTATCAGGGTGGGCCCGTGCTGCTGCAGCAGCGCATGCAGCAGCAGCGCTGCTTCCTCCCCTGTGGGGTAGCCGCCCATCATGGACCCCCGCTGCAGCAGCAGCAGCGGCTGCTGCTGCTGCTGCAGCAGCGGCAGCAGCCGCTGCTGCACATAAGGGGACTTGGCAAACTCCGCAGAAACTAATCCCAAGTCCACAAGTTCCTTGAGGGGCCCCACAGGTCCTGGGGGGCCCCCCGGGGACCCTGGGGGCCCCCCGGGGCCCCCAAGACCCCCTGGGGGCCCCCCAGAAACCCACGGGGGGCCCCCAGACGCCGGAGGGCCCCTGGCTGCTGCTGGGGGGGCCCCCCCCGGCCCTTTGGGGGGCCCCCAGGGTCAAGAGCAGCAGCAGCAGCAGCAGCAACCAGCGCGGCAGCAGCAAAACTGTCATTAGGAAAGGAAGCAGCAGCAAAAAGAAATAAAGGGGAATGCGGCTGGGGGGAGCTGTACGTACACCCCGTGGCCCGGGCAGAGTCCGCCCCACATAACATCAAACTCTGTGCTGCTTGCTGCTGCTGCTGCTGCTGCTGCTGCTGCTGCTGCTGCTGCTGCTGCTGGGGCCGAGGCGGTGGTGGTCGCGCGGCTGGGGGTTGCTGCGGTTGACCCTGCCACCCTGCTGCTGCTGCTGCTGCTGCTGCTGCTGCTGCTGCTGCTAGTATGTCTTCTTTGTTTAACTGACATCAAAATCTGCTGCTAATTTTGCGTTTTTATTTCTATTTGCTTCTTTGCTGCTGCTAAAAGTTGCTGCAGCAGCAGGGGGCCCCCCAAGGGTACGGGGGCCCCCTTCTCGGATGAGACGTTGGGAAGCACTTGCGTCAGTGTTGCTGCTGCTGCTGCTGCTGCTGCTGCTGCTGCTGCTAATTAGAAAAGGAAAATAATAAAGAAAGGGTAAAAGGCTGGCGCTGTCGCTGCCGCAGGAACACGCTGCTGCTGCTGCTGCTGCTGCTGCTGCTGCTGCTGCTGCTGGTGCTACTTACTACTGCTGCTGCTGCTGCTGCTGCTGCTGCTGCTGCTGCTGCTGACTGAAATAATAATACTTTTAGCTAAATAGAGAAGAAGCAAAGAGAGACAAAAATGAAAAAGAAAAAAGAAGCAGCAAGATAATAGGCGACACAGTTTTGCTGGCAGCAGCAGCAGCAGCAGCAGCAGCAGCAAATGAAGTAAATAAAAAAAATATTATTTTTATTTGTTTTATTTTTATTTTTATTTTTGAATTAATAATTAAAACTAATAATTCAATTATTTGCTGCTGCTGAGGAGCTGCTGCAAAGAAGACAAAAAAAAAAGGAAATGAGAAAAAAGAAATTAAAAAAGACAAAAAATGAAATCAAATAAAATATAAATAAATTTAAATAAATTAAAAAGAAATAAAAAGAAATTAAAAAGAAATAAAAAGAAATAAAAAGAAATAAAAAGAAATAAAAAGAAATAAAAAGAAATAAAAAGAAATTTAAAAAAATTAAAAAGAATTAAAGAAAGAAAAAGACAAACTCAGACAGAAGAGAAAATAAAGAAAACCCAAAAAGGAAAAAGGCAAAAGAAAATAAAACAAATAAAGAAAAAGAAACTAAAGAATAAAAAACAATTAAAAAGAATTAAAAAAAATGATAAGTAATTGAAAGGAATTAAAAGGAACTAAAGGGAATTAAAAGGAATTAAAAAGAATTAAAAAGAATTAAAAGAAATTAAAAAGAATTAAAAAGAATTCAAAAGAATTAAAAAGAATTAAAAAGAATTAAAAAGAATTAAAAAGAATTGAAATAAAAATAAAATTCAAATTGATAAATTCAAAAGAGTTTAAAAAGGGAAAAACAAACTTAAAAAAAAATTAAAATAAATCAAAAAAAGTAAAAAGAAATAAAGAAACAAACGAAATAAAAGCAAAAGAAAATGAAATTAATAAAATAAATAAATAAACAAATAAATAAACAAGCAAATAAATAAATGAATAAATAAATAAATCAATGCATAAATAATTACATGAATAAATAAACAAATAAATAAATAAATAAATTAATTAATTAATTAATTAATAATATGTAAATAGAATAAAAAAATAAAAAAATAAAAAAATAAATAAAAATAAATAAAAAGAAAAAAGACAAAACTTCGAGCTGCTGCTTTTGTCTTTCTGCAGCATCAAAGCAGCGCAGCAGCAAAACGGGACGCTCCAAACCCTAAACCCTAAACCCTAAACCCTAAACCCTTACCCCTAAACCCTAAACCCTAAACCCTTAACGCTAAACCCTAAACCCTAGGCTTTAAGCCCTAGACCCTAAACTTAGAACCCCAAGCGTTATACCCTGCACCCTAAACTCTAAACCCTAAACCCTAAACCCTAAACCCTAAACCCTAAACCCTAAACCCTAGGTGTCAGATCCTGGAGAGCAACTGTGGGGAGCCTGAAGCAGAAGCTGCTGCTGCTGCTTCTTCTGCTGCTGCTGCTTCTGCTGCTGCTGCTTCTGATGCTGCTGCTGCCTGCTCGAGGGCCCTAGGGGCTATCTTTGTCTCTTTTATCTCTTCACTTCCTTTTTGCTGCTGCTGCTGCTGCTGCTGCTGCTGCTGCTGCTGCTGCTGTCTTCTTGAATGTTTTTTTCCTCCTTATTGTGTATGCTGCTGTTCTTTTTGATGCTTTTGTTTTCCGGCCTCCTCCTGTTGCAGAACGCGCCTCTAAACCCTAAACCCTAAACCCTAAACCCTAAACCCTAAACCCTAAACCCTAAACCCTAAACTGTGGATGGAGCAGGAACCTCTTCCAGACGCACACACACAAGGCACAGAAAGGCCCAGGAGCTAGAGCTAGCTAGCTAGCTAATTAGCTAGCTGCATAGCTAGCTAGCTAGCTATGCAGCAGGCTAGCTGTACAGCCATCAAGCTAGCTAGCTAGATAGCTAGCTGGACAGCTAGCCAGGCAGGCGCGGCAGCCAGCTAGGTTGTTAAGCAGCTGGCCAGCTAGCTAGCTATCTGGCTAGCTAGCTAGCTAGCTAGCCTGTCAAGGACCCAGTCAACCAGCTAGCCCGCTGGCTAGCTAGCTAGATACTTGGCTAGCTAGCTGGCTAGCTGGCTAGCTGGCTGGCTGGCTGGCTAGCTAGCCAGCGAGTTGACCAGCTGTTTAGCCTGCCACCTAGGCATGCTCGTTGGCTAGTTAGTTAGTTAGTTAGTTAGTTAGCTAGCTAGCTAGCTAACTAGCTAGCTAGCTAACTAACTAACTAGCTAACTAGCTAGCTAGCTAGCTAACTGTGTGGGACCAGTTGTCTGCTGTGTGTGTCAGTTAGCATAGATCTCTACAGGGGCTTTCGAGAAGCAAAAGAGAATTTAAATTTAATTTAAATATCACTTTTGCTTTTAATTTTCTTATTTCTGTTTAGTTGCTGCTTCAGAGTTTGGGCCCTGCTGCTGCTGCTGCTGCTGCTGCTGCTGCTGCTGCTGCTGCTGCTGCTGGTGTGGCCTCAGCCGCCTGGCCCGCCGCAGCCTGGCGGCTGCTGCTCACAGCCCGCGCAGCTAAACCGCTCGAAATGGAGAAATAAAAACAAATTTGCGAAATAAAATTAAAATATTTTAAATTAAATTTAAAATATTTTAATTTTGGAGTTTAATTTCTTTCGAACGAGGCCGAAAGGCGCGTGGCGGGCCACGGGGTGTACGCGCAGCAGCGGTCTGGTCTTGCTGCTGCCGCCGCCGCCGCCGCTGCTGCTGCTGCTGCTGCTGCTGCTGCTGCTGCAGCATTTCCTTTTCTGAGGCTTGGAACACTTCAAAAGGAGTTTTTAATTTTAATTAATTAATTAATTTCCTCAAAATAACTTTGGCTTTTCGCTTTCCGGCGTTTCAGCCGGCTGCTCCGGCGCAGCTGTGCTCGGGTGTACAGACACCTCCCGTAGCTCCACTCCGCTTCTCCACTTTCTGTCTTTTCCCCCAAACAAAGAATGGCATTTAAAGGCCCTTTTGGGTCTTTTATTATTTCGCTGCTATTTCTGGGCCTCTGCAGCGGGGGGGCCCCCCAGCTGGGGGCCGCTCAGGGGGGGGGGGCCCCCCGGGGGGCCCCCCCCGAGGGGGTACCCCTCGAGGAGGGGCCCCCCTTGTCTGCAGAATTTATGTCTCAGCTTTTTAGTGCTTTTGCAGACACCGGAGGAGCAGCCCCGAGCAGCATGCAGGAGCTGCTGAAGAACTTTATGCTGCAGATGCCAGCAGCAGGGGCCCCGGCTTCCCCCAGCAGCAGCAGCAGCAGCAGCAGCAGCAGCAGCAGCGGCAGCAGCAGCAGCAGCAGCGGGGAGAGCGTCCTGGGGCCCCTCCTGGAGAGCCTGCCCTCGCTGCAGCAGCTGCTGAAGGGGCTGGGGGGCCCCGGAGGGCCGGGCAGTGGCGCCGGGTTCGCTGCTGCTGCTGCTGCTGCTGCTGCTGCTGCTGCAGGGGCCCCCGAGGGGCCCGGGGGGGCCCCCCGGGGCCTCCTGGAGGGCCTGGAGAAAGTGCTGAGCAGCTTCGACTTGGAAGCTGAAGTGGAGCAGCTAATAGGGTCCAGTGGTGCAGACGGGGGCCTCTTCCAGCTGCTGCGGCAGCTGCAGCAGCAGCAGCAGCAGCAGCAGCAGACCGGTGGACCACTGGACCTGCAGCAGCTGGCAGCAACTTTCAGCAAACTCTCCCAAACCCTCAAGGCCCAGGGCACGAATATCCGTGCACTTCTGCAGGAGGTCATGGGGGCCCCCCAGCTCGCTTTGCCCCCCGTGGGGGGCCCCCCCCCCTCTTTGCTTCGCCTTTACCGCAAGTACAGGGGGCCCCCCGGGGGCCCCCAGTACCCTTTGGGGGCCCCCGGGGGGCCCCCCTCCCTCCCGGCCCACGTCATCCGGGGGATGATCGGTACCCTTTCTGAGGACCTCCCGGGGGCCCCCCGGGCCTCCTCCCGCTCAGGGGGCCCCCCCCGGGGGGCCCCCTCCGTGGGGGGCCCCCAGGGGGGCCCCCGGGGGGGCCCCCCGGGGGCCCCCGGGGAGGGGGGCCCCCAGGGGGGCCCCCAGGGGGGCCCCCAGTGCCACGTGCTGCTGCTGTCGGGGGCCCTCGCGAGGGCCCCCCTGCAGGCGGGGGCCCTTTTGGGTCTTGCTGAACAATATGCTGCTAGGGGGGCCCCCCTGCAGTGGGATGTAATAGGGGGGGTTTCTCAGGGGGCCCTTTCTGCTGCTGCAGCACTAGGGTTTAGGCCAGGTGGGCCGCTAGGGTTTAGGGTTTGGCTGCGAGGGTTTAGGGTTTGGCTGCGAGGGTTTAGGGTTTGGGGCTGCGAGGGTTTAGGGTTTGGGGCTGCGAGGGTTTAGGGTTTGGGGCTGCGAGGGTTTAGGGTTTGGGGGCTGCGAGGGTTTAGGGTTTGGGGGCTGCGAGGGTTTAGGGTTTGGGGGCTGCGAGGGTTTAGGGTTTGGGCTTGAGGGTTTGGGGCTTTTTCGCTAAGTTGCTTCTCGTTTGCCCTTTTTTGCTGCTTCTGCTTTCCACTTACTCCCCTTTTGCCTTCTT